ATTGACTTAGTTTTTCCAAATCGAAATAAAACAAACAGATCCATCTAAATACACAGCCCCCAGCTTGGTATGTGTGCAGCATGACCAAACTTGCAGAAGATCTGCACAGAGAGAACAGGATGGAGATGGATATCCTTGGAGCGCCCTCAGAATTGGTACCTGCCACACAACTGCCTGAGTTCTTTCAGAGTCAGGAAAACAGTCACCCCATGAGCTATCAACTTCATGAAGAAAACTACTTGTAAAAGATTTCCACTCTTGCAAAGCCAACCAAGTCTGTGATGGACTGTAATCCGAAGGCAACTTCCCTCCTTGGTGTGGACTGTGGGCTCTGACACTCAGGTGCCCATCCCCACTTCACCTCCCAGGCAGCAGAGCTGGGAGTAGCATCCTGAAGAAAGGGTGGACTGTATTTCCTTTTCTTTCCATTTAAGTACCTCTGAAGCAGGAGCACCTTGGCTCCCTTTAAGGAACTGGTGAGAAGTGAGGGTTTATTCTAAACAGGGAAAATCATTTCTGCTCATCTGTTTGTTTCTCCCCTAGGATAGATAGCTCTGAAAACATTCAACTTGATCCCTTCCCTTTACCAATTGTTAAGAGACTAAAGATGCCTGCAAAAGCTCCTCCACTCCCCCACACAGTTCCCAACTCCTAAGCAGAAACTTTGGAGAAAAATAGAACGCAACTTTTCTTTCCTTCTTCCATTTCCATTTTCTCCTCTCCTAATTTAGCTTTCTCTTAAAAGACAACTTCATCGCCTTTTCTGAAACAAGCAGTTTCCAGATATGATTTTTGTTACAATGTGCGTGTGCCTGTGTGTGATTTTTCAGAGGCTGATGCCGGAAGGCAGCAGCCTAGGGAGGCAGACACCTCTTCCCAGGCTCTGAGGGAGGCGAGGGAAGCTGGAGCATCCCAGGACCAGCTGCCTGAATCAGGGGCAAAGCAACAAACTTTACAAGTTACAAACCGGCTGGGCTGCACCCGTGGCAGGCAGCAGCCGGGCATCTCCCTCTCCGAGTGCTCATTCCTGACTCCAAGGCTGTGTGGAGATAGTGGGGTATAATCAGGGGAATAAAAAGGGGGGCTGTTTCCCCCTTCCACTCCGGCTTCAGTGAAAGTGTTACAAAGTGAGTCAGGCGACTGAGGATCATCTGACTGAACTTTCTTGAAACCGACACACATTCTTGTCTTCGGGCAACTTGCTTTTTGGCTCCTTCCCCTCACCCCGCTCCCCCTTTCCTCCTGCACATCTTATTTTCTGGGAAGAGACTTCTGCCTTTCCATGTGGGGGAAAGGAGACTGTCTGCCCGCTTTGGGTTAGCTTGGCCCTGGCACTGTCTTTGCCAAGCGTCTTGCTAGCCTAAGAATCTGGAAGCTTGGAATTTAGATTCTTTCTCTGTACATTGATTTTCTTTGAACTATCTCTTTCTCCTTTGCTTTTTAATAACTGTACACAGCATTGTTTTCCAACCTATGATCTCAACCAGCTTTTCAAACACACACACACAAAGACACACACACACACTGCTTTATGTTTATCTCCTTGTCGCCTTGGCCTATATACACACTGTTGACTTCATTAAAATTATATAAAGTGCCATTCTAGGTTCTTGGATGACCATCTTCTTTTTCTACTTCTAGCTTCTACTTCTATGATTATTATTGCCATTATTCCTTTCCAGGAATTGCTATATGATGTTGATAAGCATCATCATATTTAGTGTTATCAGCAAAGACACAAGCTGGAAAGTGACATCTTTTCCATGAATCCAGGAAAGAAGAAAAATCCACTTAGTTCAGATAAATCCTGGCAATTCCCAAAGGACAAAGGCATTGGATACGTGTTTGATGAGAAAGAAAATGAAAAGGTGTGTGTGTGGGGGTCTCTTCTACCTGCTTCTCAAAACCAGGACATTGCTCAGTCACATTAAACCCAGTGAAGATACTGACAAGTAACCAATTCATAGCATGTTTTCTCATAGATTATTTGGAAAAAAAGAGACAGGTAATAGTCAAAGTTAGAAAAGCTGTAAGCAGTAGACAGGCGTATGTTAAATGCGCAGGGTCTGGGCTGAATTCCTTAAAACACGTAATTCAAATTTCCATTTCAGAGTGTGGAGGCTTCTCCCAGATTAGTGGCTGGGGTGGTGGAGAAATGGATGCAGTGTCCACGACTGCACACCCCCTTGGCACTCCATTCCACCTGCGAAGTCCCCAACAGGACCCTCTCGTAGCTAGCAACCCAGAGAGTCCCCAAGAAGCTGGGCTCTCTCCCCAGAACTGGGCTCTGACCTGACCTCAATGCTGGGGCCAGGCTGGTCAGCAGTGGCAAAATCCTACATGGGGTGGAAGGAGGAAGGTGGAAGAAACACTCTAAATAGTCTTCTCTGTATCTTCTCTGCAAAAGAATACTTCTGGTAGCTGTGCTTTAAATCTCTTTCTCTTAAAAAAAAAAATGACTGTTTAACATAAGAAAAAAAAAGCCTCCTTGACACAAAGCTTTTGTTATCCAGTTGATCAGCAACGTGCTTTAGATACTTGTAAGAGGGGGGAAAAAGCCCCACAACAGACATTGATTTTAGAAAATCAATAACCAACATTTAATAAAAGGAACAGAAGAAACACAAGAGAGGAGAGGGGAACATTAGGTGTAATTTTAGTGTCTACTAAATTACCCAGAGATGGAGAAGGGGAGGTCTCCTGTGTAAGGACCACCTTAAATAATACCAGGCACCAGAGTGAAGAAAAATTAAATTATATTGAGAGAGAGAGAGAGAGAGAGAGAGAGAGAGAGACACTGAGACTTAGAGGCAGCCTGATCTGAATCTTGGGGAAACAGCTCGGATATTGTACTTGTTTTTTGTAATACTAAGCCAAGCAAATAGATCAAAGACAGCACAAAGAGGAAAGGCAGGATAACGTAACGAACAGTTTCTGACTAAAATTCCTCTATCACTCCCCCATATGGTTCGACACCTCCACCACAACAAGCAAAAGACACACACACACACACACACACACACACACACACGGGGGGGGGAGGAGAGAGAGGGAGAGAGAGAGGGAGAGCGCGCGCATCATTTGTCTCTAATCAAAATTCTCTGGTCTTTGTGTTTTTTTCACTCCAGCGCCCCACACTGCGCCCCCAGCCGCCCCTCTCAGCGCCCGCAGCCCTCGGCCGCCGGGGGCGCGCACAGCGGTCTTCTCTAGCGAAAGTTGCTCCAAGTGGGGCCGGCCGGTCCCAGCCCGGCTCGGGCTGGGGTAGCGCGAGGCCGGGCAGGCGCTGCGACCCGCGCCCCACTCGGGAGCGTCTGTGCGGCCCAGCGCGGGTGACCAGGCTGCGAGCGAAGGGAGCGAGAAGTTTCCTTTCCGACTCGGGGCTGGCGCTGGCTCCTTGTTTGTTTTGAGGGTTCTTTTTTTCCTTTTTCAACTCAGTCTCCGCCGTCAGCTCCCCCAGCACCCTCTCGGGTCCCCAGCCGTTCCCCTCCCCCAGGAGCCGTCTGCGCACTTGCCAATCACTTTTTCCTTTCACTCCCACGATTTTGTTTGGGGTGACACCTAGGGGGTCTCGGCCTCCCTCCCCTCCTCCCTCCCTCCTTCCCTCCCTCCCCCACCCTGCCCCCGTTCTGCGTCTCTCCCAGAAGGTCCTACTCAACTGTCACCCCTCCTTCACCCTCCACCTCTGCTCGGTGTGCCCCTTGCGCCCCCGTCGCCTTCCTGACTCGGCCCGGAGAGCGGGCTCCTCCCGACCCCGTAGAAACTGCCCGGAAAAGTCTGGCTGCGCCCTGCGGCTCCTCCAGCCTCCGGCCCGGGGCCCCGAGCCGCTGCCCAGGAGCCCCGCTGCCGGAGCCCTCCCCCTGAGGTCCCGGCTGCCCGCGGACCGTTACTTGGCGCACGGAGAGTCGGCCCGGAGGCTCCGGCAAGAAACTTTAAGCCCAGCTGAGGCGCAGCCCGGGCCCCCGGCGCCGCCCTCGCGCCCTCACCACCGCCCTCGCCTCCGCCCGGGCTCCGGAGCGAGCTGGCGCCCGAGCCCCCGCCCTGCCCTCCCGGGCGCTCTCGGAGCCCGGCCGGGGACCCCGCGGGCCGGGGCGAGCGGAGCGGAGCGGAGCGGAGGGGGTGGCGGGGGCGCAGGGCGGCGCAGG